CTATAGCGTGAAGTAACCTATTACTAGTTAACACTAGTAAGTTTGAATCAACAATAGAATCTAACCCTAATTAACCCTATATAAAAGAGCGTTTTCCATTACCAAAGAAATGCATATTTGCGAATCTAACAAGGACCTTCAGATTTGACAAGGTGTACGATACTGAGTACGAGTACGAGTATTTATAATTGACCTTTTGGGAGTAGGGTTGTCTGAAATTAATTCCACTTCTCGTCTCTATGTATTTGGTCCTTCAATCTATGCGTCACCCCAACCCTAACCACTTTGTTCTCTCGCACCTTAAATCGTACGTGTAAACAACCCTGCGATTCTTGCAGGGATCAAAAATCGCCGCGCGTTGAAGCTATATTTCAAGCATGTTCGAAACTAATGCGATTGCAAGCAAAAGAGTCTAAACGTGCCGAAAACAACAGTTGCTGTCATAACCACTGAATTACCTTTCTTAATGCCGTTCAAATTCTCCTGGAGGTATGCTATAATGAAGAGCGAAATGAAGGTAATTTACGCTTTTTCAACTGCATCAATCTGTATATTATATAATGATTCGTAGTATAGTCCATAAACTATCCATTAATCTCTATTCACAGACCAACGATGCACTACAAATTCAACATATTGCTCACCGGCCTGCTCGCTCTTCATGTTTTCCATTTCTACGAATGTAAAAAAATCTGTATAAGTTGCTGCATGTTGCAAATGACTGAAGTAGGTCTGAATAAAACTCAATATATTTACTAATATACATGGCGATTACCAAATATGATATGGCCTACTAAACACTAACACTACATTCAAGGCACGGTTACACTTTATGATAACTTACATCAAACCATAACTACATAAACTAACCCACAATACACCATCACAAAAAGGTTTACACTACAACATGATGGAACATACAAAATGCGTTGTGGATTCGAAAATACATAAACCCAAAAAGAAATTGCTGCGATGCAACATAGAAATACCTTGCCTCAGCTGCTCCAAATGCGTTTTAAGCATTTCTGAAAAGTAACGATAAAAATCAATATATTAACGTTCGTCCTAATGAATCTTTATAATATATGATGTCGTCTCATGGTCAAGAAACAATCCAATTTCAATCAATACTCACAAAAATGTACAAACCAAAATTTCACTACAAAACCATAATCTCACTCACCTTCCTGGCCAGACTTGAACGTTGCCAGCTCTATGACAGAAAATCAATTATATCAGTACTTATTCTACGCGTTTATCATATAGAAATAACGCAGTAAAAGGACATTTCCCGAATAAAAAGAACAGCACTCTCTCTTAGTACGTACAAAACAGGTACTTTCCTGACTGAAGCTGGCTATGCTTCGCACTATACGATAATAAAAAGCAAGAAAAACATTACAGTCTTGTTGAATAATCACTCACCGTCCTGCACGAACATTTCAGAATTGACTACCATCAATGCAGCTATTAAATGGACAAAACATAATTTTTAATCCACAACGACGCCTGTCAATACAACGGTATTTCACTTATTGACTTGAGATTGATACCCACAACCCATACACACGGTTTTAATTTCACAACTTACTCTCGTCTATCATTGCCTGGATCTACAACAAGAAAACCAACATTACATACATGATGTTTCACACAAATTGTACAATAACAACAACATTGAAATTATTGCAAATGGATATAAATGCACGTCGTTATCAACTAACCATGGACTGCTCCTCTCCAGCCTCATCTCTTCCGGCGTCCTTCAAACAACAAATAAGTAAACTAATACGAATATCTATACTTTAGGAATATCTTTAGTGAGATTTGATTCGATGTCAGTAAATGTCTATCTGACACGTCATCTGTATTATTATAATG